ACTCCTGGCCTTAAGCCATCCTCCTGCTTCCCTCCCAAAGTGATGGGATTACAGGTATGACCTACCACACCCAGCCATTAGAACATTTGCTTATTTTTTTATTTAATAACACCTTTATTGAAATGTAATTCACATGCCATACAATTAGACACTTTAAAGTATAGGCATGCTTTGGTTTTTTTATACTGCACTTTATTGTGCTGCACAGATAGTGCCTTATTGCAAGCAAGACTATCAGCACCACTTTTCCAACAGCATGTGCCACTTTGACTTTGTTACATTTTGGTAATTCTTACAGTATTTTCAACTTTTTCATTATTACTCTGTCTGTTTTGGTGATCTGTGATCAGTGATCTTTGATAATACTATTATACATGTTTTGGTGCACCTTGAGTTGTGCCCATAGAAGATGATGAGCTTAATTATGAATATTGTTTGTGTTCTAATCACTCTACCAACCTGCCCTTCCCCTATCTCTGTCCCTCTTATTGGGCCTCCCTGTTCCCTGAGACAAAATATTGAAATTAGGCCAGTTGTGCCAGGCATGGTGGCTCACGCCTGTAATCTCAGCACTTTGGGAGGCTGAGGCGGGTGGATCATTTGAGGTCAGGAGTTTGAAACCAGCCTGGCCAACGTGGCGAAACCCTGTCTCTAGTAAAAATACACAAAATAGCCAGGTATGGTGGTGCACGCTTGTAATACCAGCTACTCGGGAGGCTGAGGGCATGAGAATTGTTTGAACTTAGAGAGGCGGAGGTTGCAATGACCTGAGATCATGCCACTGCACTCCAGCCTGGGTGACAGAGTGAGACTCTGTCTCAAAAAAGAAAAGAAAAGAAATTAGACCAATTACGGGTGCAGTGGCTCACACCTGTAATCCCAGCACTTTGTGAGGCCGAGGTGGGCAGATCACCTGAGATCAGGAGTTCGAGACCATCATGGCCAAACATGGTAAAACCCCGTCTCTACTAAAAATATAAAAATTAGCTGGGCATGGTGGTGGGCACCTGTAATCCCAGCTACTTGGGAGACTGAGGCAGGAGAATCGCTTGAACCCAGGAGGCAGGTTGCAGTGAGCTGAGATCAATGCCACTGCACTCCAGCCTGGGCGACAGAGCAAGACTCCATCTCCAAACAAAAAGAGAAATTAGGCCAATTAATAATTAGACTGGGCTCAGTGGTTCATACCTGTAATACCACCACTTTGGGAGGATACAGAGATAGGATCACTTGAGGCTAGGAGTTAAAGACCAGCATCTGCAACATAGTGATACCCCATCTCTATTAAAAAATAAAATAAAATCAGCTGGGTGTGGTTACATGCATCTGTGGTCCCAGATACTTTTAGAGGCTGAGGTAGGAGGATCTGTTGAGCCCAAGAGGTTGAGGTTGCAGTGAGTCGTGATTGTGCCACTGTACTCCAGCCCGGGCAACAGGGCAAGACTCTGTCTCAAATATAATAATCGTAATAAAGAAAAAAATCAAAATGGCCTTCGAGTGTTCAAGTGAAACCAAAAAATCGTTAAGGTGAGTGAAGAAGCCATGTTGAAAGTTGAGATAGGCCAAAAACTAGTTTTTTGGTATCAGTTAGCCATGTTATGAATGCAAAGGAAAAGTTATTGAAGGAAATTAAAAGTGCTACTCCAGTGAACATGCAAATGGTAAGAAAATGAGACAGCTTTTATTGCTATAAGGAGAGGTACAAGGAGATTAATGTTTCATGGCTGCATCATCTGTTCTGCAGCCCTTGGATCAAAGAGTAATTTCACGTTTACTCTTTTTTTCTTTTTTTTAGACAGGGCGTCTCAACTCTGTTCATGCAGGCTGGAAGTTGCAGTGGCATGATCATGGCTCAGCCAGCCTTGGACCCTCCTGGAGCTCAAGTTATCTG